CTACCTTTACACAATATAATATTCTGACAACGATCAACTGCCACCGTTTCAACCAGTTGTGATTGCAAGCTACAACTCGCGAAAAGAGCATTCCTCGGGAAATTTTCAGGCCATGTAAAATTCATAATACGATCCCTGAAACCACTCTGCCTTCAGACTCTCCAACGATGTCCTTTAGAGCCATATTTTTTAAGACTATCCGCAGTTTAAGCAACGGAAAGGTTTCCCCGATGCTTGCAAATTGAATTTCAACGGTAGCTGGCGCTCTCTTCTAGTTCTATTTCTCGAGACTTCAAAGCCATCGTTCGGAATTCACTCGCGGCACCGCCGTTACCTTGATTTCGTTTTTTCGTCTCAAAAGGATCGCTCTTTAGCAAACCCTACCCGTGCTTCAAAGAATTTATCCTTCGCGTTGGCATCGCGGAGGGGCACACGTGTGGTCTGAGAAGAGATTCTGATTCGCACACGTGTACTTACAGGCGAAATGGTAAATTCCTCAAAGAAGGATCACTTTCAATCACGTTCGAAGAAACTCAAGTAATCAATTCGACTTTCCGAGGGAGATAGAATGGCCTGAACACGGATATGCACTCGATTCCCCGTAAATCGACGATATGAAATTGTGGTCGGTATAACTGCTTGTTCATTTTGTATTGATTTTTATGGGGAATTAGTTGAATTGCTTTCATGAAAAACATTCTGCTATTTAAATAATAATAATAAATTGATCGTAAAGATTTTTTACGGTTTTAGAGTAAGTCTGGTTGTTTCGGAAGTCAAAGTGCAGATGTACAATTGAAAATTGTACGATATTTTTTCTTCATCGACACGTTTCTTTTCCAAACGTTAACCTAAAAAGAAGCCTTGTTCTGCAAGTTGTAAAGAGCGTTTTGATCACCGGGATCATTCTTCTGCAGGGACAATCGAGGTTGAATTGCGCGAACGTATTCTGTAACGGTCTCGTCGCAATAGCTTTTCCAGGTTTCGCTGGAGTTGTGAAAATGTTTTGAAAAAGGCGCGGTAGACTCAAAACAGTTTATATGAAACGTGATTCCGTGAAAGAATTATAAGCAATCATAGAGGAATAACGAAAAATTATTATTTCTAGTACTACGATACTAATATATCGATCTAAAGTATTTTTATTTTCAATACCTTGATCCCTTGAGCCCTGCATACTGCAGTCCTTACAGGAATAAATCTAATTACTACTACTTTCAATTACCTTTAATAAGCGCGTAAAGTGTATTTGTATTTCTTTCTATGTTCTCTATGCTTTCCAATGCTAGTGAAATAATATAAATTTCGGTAATATTTTTTGAAAATTGTTTTTGGAACAAGTATTTAATTTTTATATTCCCTGTTATTATTGTTCTTAGGTATGCATTATTCTCTTTCTTAAAATTTGTATGGATTTGTATAATTATTGTTGTCCACAAAATTATAAAACACAATTAAAAAATAGGAACTCAATTGCCCTAAATGAATTTTCTCGCCGAGTGACATTCTAATAAATGTAAAAGCTCACATTTTCGTTGCCCAGCCGTGGATGAGATATAAAGAAATTTATGTCGCAAATTCTTTGAAAATATTTTAAGTCTGAAAATGGGTTGCGGGTAGTCATATTCGTAAAATCGCGCAGAAAAACGTGGACCGTCGTCGTTGAAAATTCTTTCAAACCATCTAACTAATGCCGTAGTATTTCTCAAAAGCTTTCGAGCGGCAAAGAGACCTCCATTAGAAGCATCACGAAAATAAATGGGTGCTAATATTAGGATGAAGTATCCTTGGTGTTCGTATAATTGAATGCGTAAGTGGTCGAACACGAATCTTTGGACGTGATTAAGTCCTGGGAATTCTTTTCTTAAGGCAATGATCACCCATCATTCTTCATTCCCTTTTTCTTCGTTTCAAATTTTATTGTGCAGACTTCTACTTTTATATAAAATTAATCTCACGTGAGGTGAATTATGTTTTACTTTATCAGTATTTAATGCACACCGGTTCAACAAATTTAAGTAGTTGAACTGATTAATAGATTGAAAAATCAGAAATTTATTACGATTAATATTTTCCAAAGTTCATGAAGTATTTAATTTCATATTGTTCCTAAAGGTGTACCAGTAGAAAATTGCAATTTTTATTTCATAAACCTTCAAGTTCCAACAATTGAAAAGCACATTTCGATCCCCTGTGACGTCAGAACTCAGGATAAACATAAATGACGTTTACTGGAAGAACTAATCTCCACGCGACAATGGTTGTATAAAGCTCGAGGCATGATTATCCTGAGTGTAGGTTAGTAAAAACGTCAAGCATAATCGATTCGCGAAACTACGTTTATTCACGAAGCTAGCACATTCTCAGACAAGGGACCAACCATGAGGGAATGCCCTAAAATATATTGCAGGCATTGACGATAACGGTATAACTTTCTCTTACATGAGGGAAACTATTCGCATGGCGGTATGCGCACACGTAGAGGACAAAGAAGCTTGGTAGTCGTCGGTACTCGGTTGGTGAGCTTTGGACCTCGACTAATCTTGAAGCTAAGCACAGTTCTATGGCGGATGGGAGAGATTCGTTTCTTCAACAATAAGGGTGTACGACTAGAACTGCGGTGAAAGGCTTTCAGGGAGCTTTGATATTCTATTATTCAATAAAACGCAAATGGCATGGAATACACTCGACTTGAATGAAAGTACTAAGGATTACAATTAAACAGAAATGATTTATCTGATTCAACGTATATAAAGATTAAGTTCAGTTCAATTGTACAAGAATCATGTGAACATAATGGGTTTGCAACATAGGGCTTTAGGATATTGTTTTCTAATAACGAATGTATAACTGTCAGCGTTGTCATGTTAATTTGTCATCATGTATACTTTAATTTAAAATTAAACATTTTAATGAATACTAATGAATGTTTGATTAAAAAATAAAATTCCAAAGTCTTTTTTGGAACAACTTCAGAAGCCCATAGATATCGCAATACTAGTATCTATCGAGATCCTCACTAGAAAACTAATGATAATACCGATACTAATGACAGTAAACGAACACTGGAAGTATACGAATCGCCATTGAAATCGTTAAAAACTTATCCGCCATGTAATGCTCGGTGGTGCTGTGCGCTTTTCTATGCGGTCGTTCCGGTATAGAAAATCAAAAGCCGATTCCTGGTCTGAATTGTAATGGTCCTATGGGAAAAGGTCACGAGGCCGAGGAAAGGACAAAGGGGGACTGGAAAAACGGGAGTCGTTGTTGGACACAGGGAACGATAAACGGCGAAGCGGACGCGGCGAAACAATAAGAGGGCATATTTGCCCGTGCTCGTTGCACGTTATTTAGGAGCGGTACGCGCCATTTGTATTCCGGTGCACGCGTGCACTACGAAAATTCGCGATATTGCCACCCCGACGATGATACCGGGCGTTCCTTTCTCGTGCTACTTGCGATCGCAATCACGTTTCCAGAAATTAAAAGTTCCCTGATCGAATTCGACACTGTTTTCGAACGGTCGCCCCTTCGATTAGCAATTTCATCCGGTCTCCTTTAAGGAAACAATTTCAGTAGCACGTATCTGAAGAATCGTAATACACTGAGCCAAATACTAATAGAAAACACTCCTTAGCATTGAAGAAAATAGAATAGAAGGGCTAATTTTGTCGTAGCGATAAAATAACGCAGTTTTGGATACGTGTGGAAATGTAAATGATTATTCTTTTATTTAGTAAAGAGTTTGTCTATTTGTGTTTGACTATTTTATCTTTAAATACGTCGGAAAATGTTACACAAAAATGAATCGCAATATTATTTACTGCTTCTCTTGCTATAATAATTTCACGCGAATGTTAATAAATACTTCTAGTGGTACTATATCAAGTGGATCAACTTCTCAAGTGACTCTCATTTTACTATTTTAGTAATACATTTACTGTAGAACGTCGAAACGTAATTGAAAACTCGATTCTGGTTCTCGACAGTGATCGATGCGATTAATTTGAAAGGTTGCGAATGATTCTCCGATACACTATCGCTCGGTATGCACAACTTTGATATTGATGATTGAAAAGTGAACACGGAAATTTTTTCTCCGATGTAAATACGCGAACTATATTTTTATCGCGTTATCTGTCGGTTATTGAAATATCAATACGCCCAGGCTTTTCCAAGGGAAATTTTAAAAAGGGCCATTTCTCATCGTTTAGAAAATGTAAAGTGTTACTATAAATTTGCCGTGCAATATTTAGTTAGGGAAAATGGGAGCAATCAAATTTCACCTACCTTTTTGCTTACTGTCACAATTCAATCCTGACCCTACGACTATTACATAGGACATATTGTACTGCAGTGTTGATAATCAATCATTTTTATATTTAGTAGAATTTTTGAAGCAAGTTCAGAGAAATTTTTCACTATCTGATGTTAGAATTACTTTCAATACAGTAAGGTGACAGAATTCTGGACATTTAAATTAATCTTTCTTTGCTCCCTTCTTCCTTGTTGAAGCCTAAAGTTGATAGAATATTGAAAATAGCATACTGGGAGTTCCGTAAACTGTTAACAATTCTAACAACTTTTTTTCGAGAGGAGTACTGTACTCATTAAATCATACTACAAGAACATGCAAGAAGTAAGAATAATACTTTTACTAACATACTTAATTCTAGATCAGGATTGGCAGTATAATTATTTAAGCGCACGGCGAGCACGCAAACTACTGGCGCTACTAGCGTGTTCGCCGTGTGCTGAAATAATCACAATGCCCTTTTCTAGATAATAGACAGAAAATCGCATGCAAAAATATGAATTACTACTACTCGAAGTAAAATCAGCAGAAAGGACGTTCTGTCTATTGAAACACACTTAACTCGCACACGGGATGATCGAGTACATTTCGAGCTATGGTCTTGCTGTGCAGTGTGCGTGTTACGTAGAGAGAATGTCTTTTATGCGTCACAGAGATAGAGTTGAGGTTGATAGTCTGAACTTACAACGTCGATTATTTGCATAAGTGTAAGGCCGAAACTCAACACGAGGGGGTCGGACTCATTGCCCACAGGACGCTCCAGCACGTTGTACGTATCCAGCAGGTCGTTTAGCAGCCGTTTCTCGTGTAAACCGCCATTTACCAGCCCTAACCAATTATCATTTTTCAATCATTATTGTGCAACCAGGTCTTTCGAACACTTTGAGCCACGACCAAGCTTGATGTTAATGTAAAGAAAAGGTTAAGGAACTCCTGTTGCTCACCAATCGATAAAGTAATTTTTCTAAAAGTATTGAATTGTGTTGTATTCGATTAAGTAGGGCATCAAAGTGTGGGCGTGGTTCAAAATGTAGAGGTTCAGGACTACCAATGCTCTTCTTCAACAAGAATGCAACATACGACACAAAGTCTTCTCTTTTAATTTTCACAGAATACCTCGATTCCTAAATATTTGTAACATCTTTACAATGGAATTGATCAATAAAATGAGTGAACTCTTTAATTTGATTTTGTATCATAAGTACCAATAAAATATGCCTATTCGAGTTTGCAAATTGTCATTTCCTTTTTAATTTATTAATCCGATAATATATGAACCATATAATACACGATGATACGACTACTATATGTATCTTTCATTCTAAAGAAACTGCAAATACAACACGCTATAGTTTTCAGCATATTCTTATTATGTAAAATAAATAATTGATAATACCAAATCAAATAATATATACGTAATTCAGACAGGAATATTAAAATTCTCATGCGTGCGTCCGACCTCAAAATGATCGAATCGTAGAATCGACTGTATTATCGTTAACTGGCCCTCGTCCTATCATTGTCGCATCGAAAAGAAATGAAAAGAAAAGAAAAATAAAGACGATACAAATTTTTCTCGAGTTTCCTCAAGGACCATTTATCTTCCTTCGATTTGTCCCCAGTCTCTTTCTCTCTCTATCTCTCTCTCTCTCTTTCTCTCTCTGTTCGGTATTTTGCAGAAGTCAACCTACGGTAAAGTTCTGGACTGCTTCCCGCGAATATACAACTTCGTAATCTCTCATTTTCCCCGGTTTCCTCCCTCGCCACCTTTCTTTCTCTCACTCTTTCTGTCTTTCTGTTACTCTTTGTCGATTTCGTTCCTCTTTCCTGTTGTACACAATACGCTTCTCGCAACATCTTATTCCGCGAAGCAAGATGTATCAAGGACTTCGCAGTAACATCATTAGGTACGTCACGAGACATGAAGTTGTAATCCATCATGAGGAGGGATGCAAACCGTGACGAAAACGGGACACGCTATTCGCTAATAATATCAGAGACGAGTGATTTGCTTTCGTGGAAAATCTATGGGGTTTTCGCGAATGATTGATTTTTTAATAGGTTAGTCAGTTGTTTCGTTAGCATAATTAATTGCAATCCTACAGCATAAATTATGCAAACCTATTGTCTCACTAATAATAGCATTACCACAATATTTCACGAAAAGGATGAAAAACTTGTTTAATCATCCGATTAAATACGGGATATCCGAGCGCAAAGAGTTAAAGTATTATTAACGACAGAATATATTAAATAACTACTAAAAAACCTTCAATTTGAATCGAAGATTTATTTTGTCTCCTTTTGAAGGTAATCTGCAACCATTTCAGCACCCTTGTACGAGCATGATAAATTATTCTACCTTGTCGGTGTAATTTCCAAAAATGATTTTACAAAACAATTGTCAAATGGAAACAGACGTACACGAAATAGTGATGGCTGGAGACGCATACAAAGCTGAAGTTTCACGTGGCTGTTAATTTCACCGAGACTCGCATTCTTATTTGTCATAACTTCACCACAGCAGCCCTTTTGAACGGCAATTCCAATTACGTGAATTCCATTCCATAAGGGAAATTTTCGCGTGCTGATCCGTCCTCGCATTTAGCACAAAGCGAACGGTATCGTTAGCGTTCGCGTTTGCTATAGCGAATGACCAGCATTCAGCATTCCGTACGCATATACATATGTTACGTATGCCCCTCAATATGATGCTCCCCTTTCAGAATACAAAGGCCGAAACCGAATTTTAAATTGTTCCGCCCGACATTCGTCGCAACACTCGTACTGGGAAAAAGTTCAGTCGAGCTGTGTCGCGTTCAATTTTGCTTCGAGACATTTGTTTGTTTTGTTGGAAATCATGTGCATTAAACCGTTAGCATTATAAGAGATTATTTAAATCTATTCATGATAGTTTTGTGTAGACTTTCTTAAATGAAGAAAGGAAAAATACATGTATGAATGAATAAGAAAAAATTTTATTGTGGAAAAATCAAAGCGGAATAATGAGGTATGTTGACCCTAATAACGATAACAATAAAGTCGTCAGATTATCAAGTAATGAATTTAATTTATATTAGATATATCCTAAAATGTGTCAGTTAGTTTTTCAACTAGTCCAAAAAAGTTTACAATTTTTCAGAGAAAAAATATATAGCCTTTTGAGTCACGAATCATTAGAAAAGAAGATAACAAATTTTTTTTTTTAAACAACATATTTAATATCACTTTTTATTATCAAAATAGTAACCTACATCACACATCTGTATCAAATCTTGGCGCCTAAAGCAAAACGTTTTTTTGCCTGGCAGTGAATGTGTTGAAGAGAGTAAAATAAAATTACGAAAAAAGAATAAATTTTGATTACACAATTTATCACGCCTTCGAATCAAATTAAACACCTCTTGCTTTCCGAAATAACTTGATAATCCGAACACACGTAACGGGAAACGTTAAAATTCCAATACCGCGAAAGTCGAGATTTATGCATTTTCTCTTTATTTTACAAAAGAAAAGTGCAATTCCATTATCACAATCGAACCATTTTCGCGCCGATAATTTTACCGTAGAACGAAGTCCGTTTTCAATTAATGCGGCGTTCCGGTGGACGAAACAATAGGGTGCAATCGACCCATTTTCATTAACACGATCGTATTTCATAAGACGTATTTCGTAAACGCTGCATTAGTAAATAGGGAATGAAGACCAGACAAATTTTTATGCTGACTCCGGTGAGAAACGGTGTTAGGTTTACCATCTTAATGTGCAATCAAATAATTTTCGAGAATTATTAATTAGATTGGATAAAGTTTGAGAGTCTCTGACATGAACAAAATGTCAACAATTAAACTTTATCAAGAACCATTCCAATTCGTTAATTCGAAGATGAAAAACCTCCAATGAATTTGAATTAATTATCAACTATTTAATTGTTAATCAATCCAATACCATACATTATTTTTTTTGTCATGGCTAATTTAAACCGTTACGTTATTGCTAGTTTATGTACATAAAGTAGAGTCAAATAAAATTATTACGTGCATGACATCGGCCTCGGATAAAAGCTTTTCGATACATAAATTACCTTAGTTATATTGCCAGAGAAATTTCGAGGAAGATATCTATATATTTTCCAAGGTAGTTTTCTCGTCACGTTCCGTCATGCTTAAACGGTGTTTATGGGATCGATTAATGGAGAGGTTGTTCCCGAGTGAAAGCTTTGAAATTCATACTCGGTCGTACGCACACACTTCCAGATTTATGATCCTATGGGGATGGATACCCTTTACCTAGCAGCAACGCAACGGATCAGACGAGGAAACTTTATAGACGTAGTCGGTTCGGCAAAACGAAGAAAGAAATCGCTGATCTGTTCGATCTTTACGATTTTACTGTTCGTCGTCGCGATGTCCTCCTTTAGGAGTTTCCAATAAGGACGTTAACATTTTCTTTCTAAGACTGTTGACCCTGGTGCAAGGAGTGCGAAAAGTACCTAGCGAATAATTAAAAAAAAAATATTAAAAATAGTTTGTGATTAGAAGTCTATTTCTTTTACTCAATTAGTTACCTTTTGTTCGTGCTCTTCTTAGTGCATCGATGCATAAAATTCAAATCCAATTTGGACCAGGTATTACCAGATAATAGATAACCAAATTGAGAATGAATATTGCACCGACCTCCACAATTTAATGTAGAACAGATATCGATTAATCGATAAATTATTTTCAAAATTCCCTCGTTTAGCTTCAATCTGCGTTCTAAATTTAGAAAGTAATCAAACAAGTTACGTGCCATGGTGTATTCATCCGGAAAATACAAACGATCTAGACTTTATCGGTTTTGTTAATAGTATCCATATGCAGTATCGTATTTACGTAAGTATCGCAAATTAACAACCGTAGTTTCCACGAATATAGTTTATCGAACAAATAAAGTAGCATCGCGACTGGCATCGTTGAATAATTTTCAAAGAAAAGAAACATCGCGATGCTTTATATACAACCACCCAAAGTACCGTGACATTTCCGACACACTGCCTAGCGCGGAATTCTTGTATCGCGAAACAGACTTATGAGGATTTGAATTATGACGCCAACAGGGACGCAACATTCCATATTTCCACCAGAACGTAAATAAAGATCAAGTCAGGAAGTTACGCTGTTCTGAACGTATCAGGAAAGAAATGGGTTCGGTGACGTTTCGCTTCCGGACGCGAAGATTTATCCCTTGCGAAACGTGCCGTACACGTTCTCGCTGTAAATGGCTGAAATGTCTATTTCACGTGGAAGGCTGACCATCATACATTGACATAGTACTCAGCGAATCCAAAAATATCTAGTGGACGAAATATTAGTATTTAGACGAAGTATCGGTATTTTTGTTGTCCGGAGTCTTTATAAATTTTTAATAAGAACAGTTGCTTGTCAGTTTCAATTCGAACATTGTTATTTAAATTAAAATACAATTTTTGAATTGTGGGATTATTTAAAATTGTAGATACTGAGGACATCTGAGACTAAAAATAAAGAAAAATATGGCTGATAGAAGTTCAGGACGAATATTTACTAAAACCGATTGTTATCATTACGGATAAAAATTGTCTCAGAAATTGGCAATGCACCTGCTAACAATTCTCTCAAAACAAATCTAAAAACGTTCCAAACGTAATTGTTACAAGACTGCTGGTTCTGGTAGAGGCTCACATCTTCCCGAAGTAATTTCCTATTACCCCTTCAAAAGGATATTGCTCAGCCGGAGATGAAAGCATTTTCGAACAATGCGATTCACGTGGTCGCAAAGGGACGTCGCAGTACGTCCGTGTAAAATTG